CCAAGACAGGGGAATGAGGATGGGACAAGGGCAGAGGCACAACAGCAGAAGATGAATTTAACAACCCATCTCCACTCTGCAAAGTGAGATGAGAGAGAGAGAGCCTCTGCAAAGCCCCACCCTGTCCCAAGGAGCAGCCTTGCAGCGCAGCCTGTGAATAACCACACAGGTTGCACACACCAGGCTCTGGTCCTCACCTGCCCCGGAGCCCAGCTTACTCCCACTCAAACACAGCAAAGCCTGGGCCTGTCGAAACCCTCAGGAACCCCCAGTTCCTCCTTCCCATATGCTGAACACAGACCTGTCTGCAGCAAGGGGCATCCCCAGTCCCTCCCAGGACCATCCCTCACCTCTACATCCTTGTGCCACCCGCTCCTGTATCGCTGCTCGGAAAGGTGCCACCCCTGTGCCAGGGCCAATCATGATCACGGGGGTGTCAGGATCAGCTGGGAACTTCATTCCTCCTTTCTTCACCCACAGAGGCACCCGAACATTGCCTGCAAAACCAACAGACTGACTAGCATCACCCTCCCACCACTGCACTGGTAACACACCCTGCAGAGGGCCAGCCAGGCATCCAGCTCTTCCAGGACACTCCAAAGATATGGACGGTACCTGGCTTACGACCATCGCGGCACCAAGGCACCCGTGGTGCTACAGGCACACTATGTGTGTATGAAAAGTGCTTCAGCTGTCTCAGCACTGTCTCTGCAAGCACCTGAGTGAATCCCAGAGCAAGGCAAGAGCCCCACAGCACAAGGGCTATGGGACAGCCTTCTCCTCACGCAGCCAGGGAAGAGAGTGGTGGAGGCGAGCAGAAATCTCAACCTGGCTGTTGAGTAAGGGAGGGCCAAACTTGCTTCCTCTGGGAGCCAGAGAAGGGGTGAAGATCCCCATCTAGCACTCTGAGAAGATCCAATCTTGCCCTGCAGTCATACAGAGTAATTTCTACCACCCTGCAGCATGGAGACCCCGTGAGCTTTTCACATTTGCTTGGGAACCCAGTTGGAGGGGTTTTGTGGGTAGAGCAGAAGAGCAGCACACACAGGCTTTGCAGGACATGATGGATATGCTCAAAGGAAGGACCATCCTTCCCAGAGCTGGTGCTATGCAGCTGGAATGTCCGGCAGTCAGAGCAATACCAGCTCCACCATGACAGAAGCAGTCCACTGCGGGACAGCGGGGCACGCCGGCACTGGGAGCAGGAGGGTCAAGGATCTGTGAGAAAACCAGGAGCTCAGGGTGCTCTGGGCAAGCTGGAGGAGCACACAATGCTCTGAAGGGGATGGGAGCAGCGAGGAAGGATGGCTAGTGTGAGTTCAGCCCGTCCTGCCAAGCCAGTGTGCTCCAGCTCCCTGTGGTGGTGGTTCTCCAGCCAGGGTCCGAGCAGCTCCAGCATGTGGCCAGTACACATGCAGCTCCACCACGGTCCCATGGGATCACTGCTGTGTGCTATGGGAAGCATGCAGGGCTCTCACAGAGTCCAAGCAATTACCTTGCTCTGGCTTGAGAGAAGCCAACCAGGTAGAGCAGAGACCACGGCGGGGTTTGCTGAGCCGCGTCTTGTACCGCACCACTGCCATGAGGATCTGGATCCGGTCAGGGTGAGCCTGTGTCCAGACAGGAGCCATGAGAAATGAGAAGACACCTCTGCAGGAAAAGGCCAGTGCCTCCTCTGGGGACAAAACCTGTGCCCAGCTCCTGCCAGGGCACCTGCAACAGCCATCCTAGCCTGAAACAGCCATTTGGGCACAGAATGGAGCACACCCTTGCCCAAAACCTTTCCAGTCGGCAAGGGAGTTTTCCCAGAGAAGCACTGCTGCGGGAATGCTCTGCACAGCTGGCAATGGTGACAGAGACTGTCCAACCCAAGAGGACAAATGCCACCCATGCATGGACTGACACCTGCCAGGCCACCCAGGCCACGTCCCACTGCCATCTCCTGGCAGCAGCAGGAAGCAGCACCCCCCCTTCCCACGGCCACACCACCCAGGGGTGCTCCCAGCCTCCGTGGCACCACCTCTCACTGCTCCCCTCGATGAGGACATGGGACCTTTGCAGTGCACTGGGCCAGCCCCAGCACTGGCAGGGCTGCAGGAGGGCAAGTGCCCTCATTTGGAGGCTGGCACTGCCTGGGGTTAACATCCAGCATGTCGACCTGCCCCATGCTCACAGCAGACTGGGGATTTGGGTGCTCAGAGGGCCTGGGAGTACAGCCCAAACATCTGCGGCATGCACAGCACCAATGGCCAGCCCTGGCCCTGCCAGATCCTCAGCTCAGAGCCGGATACGAGGCCGAAAAGGGCTGAGCTCTTACCAGCATAGAGGAGGCGATGGAGAAGGCGCGGGGTCTGATGCGAGGGATGAGGTCCAACAGGTATTCGGGGGGAATGGCACACGTGGTGTGAGGGAAATCCCAAAGCGCCTGTAAAACCAAGGTGGGGTGAGACCTGGTGCACCCCAGAAGGCAGCCTGTGGGCTCCTTGGGGTGTCAGAGGCTGTCCCACGCTGCTGTGCCACGCCACCCTCGACCGAAGGCACCACACCGGGTACCTTTGTGCACCAAATGCCCCTGGTCCCCTGCCCTCCCTTCGCTCCCAGGCTGCAGCATGGGGCCCACTGCAGAGCCCAGAAGGATTTGGAGCAGAGCTTAACCACCGGTGGAAATGTAAGGACACTTTGCAAAGTGGGTGAAGTAGATTAAATGCCCCAGACAAGAAATAATGGTTGGTCATCTGCTTGGGTGCTTTATGCCATGGCACAGCCCTCATGGGGCAAGTTTGCTGGGCTCCCCCAGCCGTACATCCAGAGTGGTCCTGCGGGGCAGGTTGCAGTAGCTGTACAGCTCTTCCTGGCCCTGCGCAGAGCTGAACTCCTGCAGCTTCTCCCGCTCCAGCTCATTCGTAGAGAAATAGGACAAGAGCTCGAAGAAGGAGCGCCGCGGAACACAGGAGATGTCCAGGTAGTGGGTGACCAGGTGCCGGATGGTGCAGGGCTGTGGCAAGAGGGCAGGGAGGGATGCGCCTGCCAGGCAGGGCAGCGGGGAGAGCTCAGGGCCAGCACTGGGGCTGGATGCCTGAGCGCTGCCTGCCTGCTGTGCCGCAGCTCTGGCGTTCCCCAGGCACCCCAACAAGGGCAGCCCCGCTGCCTGCAGGCACCCACACATTGCATGAACGTGCCAGTGGAGAAAAATTTAGCTACAGCCATCACTGCTCCCCCCATGGGTCCCCCACTCCCTCCTGCTCTCCCCAGCTTGTTTTTCAAGCCCACAGGTTTGCAACGGAAAAAGTCAGCGGTGCAGAGCTGTCTCTGACTGTATGCAGGTGCTTTAGGACAATGCCTTATCCACATGGCTCCCACCTTGCCTGCACACAATGCGGTGGAAATAACCAGCAGTGTCATATGTGTCACGCCTGTCCTTGTCTCCTACTTCTCTCCCAAGGGTGTGAGGAGCAGACTAAAGTTCTCTTGGGTTTGCCGGCCAGGTGAAAATCCCAGCGCTGACACACAAAAGATGGAGGGGGAATGGGCACTCAGGGCACAGGAGAGGAAACTCTCCAGTACCATGCACACTGCAGAGCCACCGAGGGCTCCAAGCGGCCTCCACGGGGTTTTTCTAGGTGTTGGTGCTGGTTTGCAGCTGCAGAAGCACCTGCAGTAGGTCCCTGGGGTGCAGGCAAAATGGGAGACCTGTGCAGCCCAGACAAGGAAGCACAGGGTTCCTGCCTCGGGCCTTGGGCTGGGGAGACTGCAGGATACTCCATACTCTGTGCTGGGAGTGCAAAGACACAAGGCACGGGGGCAGCCTGGACATTGCTGGATTCCCCTCATGAGTCACACTGGTCCTAGCACAGGATCCACACGCGCACAGCGCTGGGACAGAAGGAGAGCCCCCGTACTGCGAGACAGACAGATGTCCTGTGTCCATCAGCCACTCCCACCTCCCCATTAACCAGGTCTACGTCGACGGAAAAGCAGAGCTCCTGGCTGGGCCAGAGCTCAGGGCTGCCCTGTCTCAGGAGGGAGGGGAAGGAGGAGCGGGCAGGACCTACCGGGCTCTGTGGGCTTCAGCACAAAGAGACTGTCTGGATCCAGGCGCAGGAGCTGACAGAACTGCTGCACGTCTTCGGGGCAGTTCTGGGGCTGGATCATCACCACGTCCCCTGCGCTGAACCTGTGGATGCAGCAGGACCTGCTGAGCACAGCCGTGGGGCAGGCCCATGGGCACAGCACTGCCAGCCCGACCTTCACCCGCACCTGGGGAGAGGCCACACCTCAGTGAATGTCCAGTGTCACTAACATTGTGCTCTCTAGCCTGACAGGGCAAGGAGAGCTGCTCCACGGGCAGGACCCACACTGCCATACGGCCCTGACTTTGTCATGGAGGGGGACAGTGCAGCAGGGACCACGTCCATGGGGCTGCAGCCTCAGATATGACTCAAGAAGGGCAGTGGAAGAGGAGGGCAGGCTACGGGACACCCCATCCCACGCAGCAAAGTTTGGGGGAGCCAGGAAAATGCTCACGTGATCCCTGAGCCTTTGACATCGAACTCGATGAGCCGGACGTCCTGGAAATGGGATTCTGCCGTGACCCGCTGGTTGGACACCATCTGGGCAGTGAAGGGATGCAACTCGGAGGGAACAGCCCTGGGTGCTGTCACCTGGATCAGGCCACCATCGGGGTGCGGGGAGTCCTCAGTCAGGTAGTGCAGGGTGTATTTTGGGGGCAGGCTGTAGGGAGGAGAGCAATGTAGTGCAGTTACCTCCATGTCAGAGCTCCTCTGCTGCCATAGCGCTGAGACTGGAGGCAGGGAGAGGCCTGAAGTCTCCCACTGTATCCATCACCCATCGCCCCTGTCCCCTGGAGCTGGCCTGTGGTAAGGGAACACAATGCAGCCTGGAGAAGGAGATCCCAAAGGCTCTAGAGCAGGCAGAGGGAGGCTGCCTGGGCACACGCCCAGCAGATCTGCCAGGACAGAGGCACATCAGGACAGCAAGATGGGGGGAACCCTGCCAGGGCAGCTGGCACACCCACCCTGGAGGCAAGAGGACACCCCATCCAGAGATGGGCCACCCATGGCCAAAGTCCAAGGGATACTTGGGACACCAGAAGCTGTGTGGGGAGGCTTCCTGGTCACAGCAGAGCATATCTCCACCCTGGAGAACAGCCAAGGAAGCAGGGGATTTCACACCAGTCAGCCCCAGCAGTCCCTGCCTACCCTCTGCACTCACCATACATCTGGACTGATGATCTCAAGGCCAGGAGGGAGAGGATACAAGGCGAGGATCTTGTCCCATAAGGCCAGGAGCCATGGATCGACCACTGCATCTGGCCTGCAAGAGGGAAATTCAGGCTGCAGCAGAGCAGCATTATCCCTCCAGGCTCGAGCACTGCTACCCCTGCACCCGGACAATGCTGGGCTGCCCCTGGGAATGCACCTCAGCTCCCCCTCCACAGCGCAGGCAGCCGCTCCGTGCCATTCCCTTCCAGCTTCAGGGGTGGAAACACGTCTCAGCCACTCTAAGCACTCACGTGCTCTCCAGGGCACAACCACCGATGTCTGAACAGAACCACCAACCCTCGCCGAGCACAACTGGTGGCAGCCACAAACTCCCCGAGCCACACACAGCCCCTGCCCTGTACGAGGAGATCAGCAGCACACCTCAGGCTGCTGGAATGCCTGCAGGCACAAAGCTGTGTGACACAGCCGTCCCCTGGTCTGAACAGGGCTGCAGCAGAGCCAGAAGACCTTGGCACATGCTGGGAATCATGGGACACCCTGGAGAAGCAAGTGACCCAGGTCCTGGCACAGGAGAGTTATGGCTAAAGCCCAGTATGTTCACAGAGAGCAGCAGGAGGCTGCTGGCCACATCTGGGGTGCAGGCGCAGACCAGAGCAGGAGCAGCACACTGCTGTCCCCGAGGCTGGGGTAAAGCATACACAGCCCTGACATCGGCCTGAGGACAAAACTGTAGCACAGCCCAGGGCTCCCCCTCCTGCCACCCCTCCACCGGGTTCTTACCCCAGGTCATGCTGGTCATCTCCCAATGCCACCGGCAGCAGAGGGTTGCCCCCAAGCTGTAGCACCCGTTTGTGCAGCTTCTTCGCAACAAAATTAAACCTGAGCAGAGAATAACCGCAGCTGCAGAGGGCAGGGCTCCTCCAGCAGGACAGCAGGCACTGGCTACACGAGCCAGCACACGCTGCCAGGGCTACACCGGAGCAGCAGAGGCAGGTGCAGCCAGAGTCGGCACACACGATCAGGCCCCATGCCCTGCCCAGCCCACGCCTCCATCCCCGGGCAGCTCGGAGAAGCAGCTGGCTGCCACTTGCAGGGCCACACAGGCTGTGCCCAGCTCCCAGAAGGTAATCAGTGAGGTCCAGTTTCCCTTCAGAGCAGCTTGTGCCCTGGGCAGAGAAATTATTCCTTCCTTCTAGCCCCTCCCTGCCGCACTGTGCTCAGGCACACTCTCAGCCCTCCCACTACAGCTCTTTCAGGCACATGGGCACAATCTTGTGGGAGAAAACTGGGATCAACAGGGCTGGCTGCCACATAAAACTCTACATTTCATGCGTCCTGTTGGCTTGGTCCACCAAAATTGCTGTGGCACAGGCTTTCCTGCAATTCAGAACTGCACCTCTGTAATAACTGACCAGGAAACAATGTCCCGGGCACTGCAGCAAAGCATCTGCTTGAGGAGGCTGAGAGGAAAGAAATGGTCAGAAGCTCAATTCCTGCAGGTTAGGAAGGACACAGGCTGGTAGGGCAAGGATTTTTAAGGCTACTAGGAATTCTGTTTTGTCTGAGTTGCTGCTCTAGAGTCAGGCTCTGTCTCATCTCACCCCCTTTGTTCCGCAGCCGCTCTGCTCTTGCTTGCAGCCAGAGCCGCGAAGAGCTGCAGACCTGCTTACTTGGGATAGGAGGAGTCGCCAAGGCCCAGCACAGCGTAGTCCAGCTGGCAGAGGGAACTGGGTGGCAGGTTCTTCCGGAACAGAAACCGCCAGAACATCTACAAAGGACACAGCCAGGGAGTCACACCGCAGACAAGGAGGCCTTCCCCACCTGTCTGCCCCCAGCTTCACCCACCCATCGGTCCCTCCTGCCCTTCGCTGAGTCCCAACAGTGAGGAGCACGGCCTTCCACAGAGGTGACCCCTGAAAGTGGCCACCACTGCCACCTGCCAGGAGGACGATGCTCTGTGAGCCCTCCACAGACCCGTGGCTCTTGTGATGGCAAAGCCCCTCTCAGCTGTTCAGCTGCTGAAACCTCACCAGCTCCCTGCCTGTGTCCCACCAGTAACACCAGACGTGACTGGTGCTGCTGCAAAGCTTCCCCCTACAAAAATAACCATTGCTCAAGCTGCTTGGAGAGACAAATTCAGTCACTGGACTAGGAATATAAAAGAGATATGGACAGGAGCGCGTCCTACCTTCATGTTGTCAGGTGGGTCACCCTGGCCGGTGGTTGCACAGACAAATACCACCAACGGCTCATTGATGAGGTTGGCCTGTGGGCACAAACACGGAAAGGCACATTCAGGTCAGCAACCTACAAACGCATGTCCCGGCTGTCCTGTCATGGCTGCTAACACATCCCACTCACTGACAGATCACAGCAGAATAAAACTCGCAGCCTCACATGGCATGACCTCCTCTACAGGCCCTGCAGCAGGATTTGCCCACATGCTGCCTGCAGCATCAGCTCCTTGGTGCTCCTCGCCTTGCAGGGTACGGCTGAGCACCTGTGTTGAAGTTTTGACCCTGGCGGACAGCCAAATGCTGCAACAACTGTTTGCTCACCTTCCTCCCTCCCGGGGATGGGAGAGAGAATTAAA